GACAATTGGTCAAGTGAACTCTTCCATCAACACAGACTTGGTGTTTTCATAGAGAAGCCAGAATGCTAAGGCCTAGTGCCACATCGAGGAGTCAAGAATGGGATTTCAGGAAAACCATTTGCAATGTTACATCTCATCAGCATTACCATACGCTCTTAAACCCTCACCACAAAACCAGCAGCTTAAACTAACAGTTTCTCTTTCCACTATCTAACCGAACCTTCTTGCATGCCAAGATCTTCAGGAATCATTCGTTGCTCATTGGCTCCGTATGACAAACAAACACAACCAACAGCTGCCGATTAGACGCTGATGAACAAGCCAGAAGGAAGTGTAGGTCAAGCTTGACCAGTCTTGCGTTGGATTTCCAACATCTAACACTAAACAAAGTATATTAAAGTATCATGTCAAAACGTGCTGACGACAATGGGAACCTAACGATAGATTTTTATCAGTGCATAGGAATAAGCAGTTAAATGTGCTTCCATCCGACGACAAGCACGCATATACTAAGTTGGCGAGTAAGTTCTATGAGACGACAACTTCTGGAACATAGCCATACTTCTCAGCGTCGAACACTTACTCCGTTGATCGAGAGGTCTATTGTCAATGTAGTGCTGAGGAGGCAGTGCTATGGAACTAAATCGTACTAGTCAAGGCACTCGACTCGAACTAGTTCTGTCGTCCAAAAGGTAGTTCAAAGTTGTCTTCTAAACTGGAGATAACCAGCAGTTTTCGTCAGGGATGCCGAATGTCACTATTTTCATCCAACTTCATCGTAGACGTCTTGGTGCAGGCGATTCTGGCCAACTCCAACGTCTCATAGATGAACTTGTTACCAGATAAGTGTCACGTTGATCTAGAGTATGCGGAGGATGTGGCCACTCTCAAGCAAGTTGGTGACAAAAAGCAGCCTTCTGAACACCTGGAATAGCAATCTCCGTATGCGTGGCATGCGACTCACCCCTGTCAAACGTATGATGACAATGCAGGACTGATCTGAACCGACTCCTAGTTTAAAGGTAGGCAGTGAACTGGCTGGTCGTGTAGTCCACTTCACTTAATTGGAGAAGTTGCATCAACCCTAGTCGACTGACTGACGAGGAAATCTCACGATGGATACGAAAGGCTCGTGTGGCATTTGACAACCCACGTCATCTCTGGTGAACGAACGCCTGATATCCGGCTACCGATCACAGCACGTGTGTACTGTGCAGAAGTTCACTCTGTCCTACTTCACGACTGTGGGATGTGACCGTTGAAAGTGGAAGACTTGTGCAAGCTAATTGTCTTCGACCATAGATATTTACGTTCTATCTACCGTGTTGAATAGTATAATATGGTGAGTGGTACTGAGGTTAGGCGTAGAGTGGTAGGTGAGGCGGGACCGACTCACCTTCACAACCGCGTCGATTCAGACAGCTAGGACATGCTCTACGCATTCCAAACTACCGACTCGCTTGTCCAAAAATGCTAACTGACAGGATTCGGTGGGGAAAGAGTTAGGTGTGATCAAATCAAAACCTGGCGTCAACATATTGAAGCCATTCGACTCTTGGTTAAAGCCAGGTTTGTGTGTGTTTATCACCTGACTTCGGTCCATGAGAAGCTAGGATTCAATGACTGAAGACTATTTATTCGTGACATGGCTCAAAATTCTTCTCAATGGCATAGATGTTTTCACCAGTTATCAACTCCTAGATCCATTAAATTCTCATCATTCTGCATGTACTTACTCTTCCTCCTGTACATTCGCCTTCACTATACCTGCTTTCAATTCTTTTCTCTCTTCCTTTGTATACTTACTATATGGAGTGTGGCAGCTTGAACTGTTTCACCCTTGTGCAAAGCTCCACGTTGAAAACTCAGTCAGTCAGTGAGGGTTCATCTAGCTTATAATGCTTCCCCTGGAGCCTGATTTTTAATAAGCTTAATATAGTTGACAGGAATTACCCAGTGCTCATCTGTTCCACTTCCATCACACATCCCACTCTGTGGTCATTACGAAAACATCTGGCTAGTCTGCTGTCGAACAGCCTTCGATACTCGTCGCGTTGTCACTCCAATGGAATCAATCTTCTCGCATAGACCAGTTCGGATGGGTCTACAGAAACCCACTGACTCTTACTAACCTATGGCTGCTTTTTAAAACTGTCCTAATTGCTGTTTCCTTAGCAGGACGCATATAGCCCGATCATTCTTCAGGATGAGCATTGCTATCATGCTTAGACAATTGGTCAAGTGAACTCTTCCATCAACACAGACTTGGTGTTTTCATAGAGAAGCCAGAATGCTAAGGCCTAGTGCCACATCGAGGAGTCAAGAATGGGATTTCAGGAAAACCATTTGCAATGTTACATCTCATCAGCATTACCATACGCTCTTAAACCCTCACCACAAAACCAGCAGCTTAAACTAACAGTTTCTCTTTCCACTATCTAACCGAACCTTCTTGCATGCCAAGATCTTCAGGAATCATTCGTTGCTCATTGGCTCCGTATGACAAACAAACACAACCAACAGCTGCCGATTAGACGCTGATGAACAAGCCAGAAGGAAGTGTAGGTCAAGCTTGACCAGTCTTGCGTTGGATTTCCAACATCTAACACTAAACAAAGTATATTAAAGTATCATGTCAAAACGTGTTGACGACAATGGGAACCTAACGATAGATTTTTATCAGTGCATAGGAATAAGCAGTTAAATGTGCTTCCATCCGACGACAAGCACGCATATACTAAGTTGGCGAGTAAGTTCTATGAGACGACAACTTCTGGAACATAGCCATACTTCTCAGCGTCGAACACTTACTCCGTTGATCGAGAGGTCTATTGTCAATGTAGTGCTGAGGAGGCAGTGCTATGGAACTAAATCGTACTAGTCAAGGCACTCGACTCGAACTAGTTCTGTCGTCCAAAAGGTAGTTCAAAGTTGTCTTCTAAACTGGAGATAACCAGCAGTTTTCGTCAGGGATGCCGAATGTCACTATTTTCATCCAACTTCATCGTAGACGTCTTGGTGCAGGCGATTCTGGCCAACTCCAACGTCTCATAGATGAACTTGTTACCAGATAAGTGTCACGTTGATCTAGAGTATGCGGAGGATGTGGCCACTCTCAAGCAAGTTGGTGACAAAAAGCAGCCTTCTGAACACCTGGAATAGCAATCTCCGTATGCGTGGCATGCGACTCACCCCTGTCAAACGTATGATGACAATGCAGGACTGATCTGAACCGACTCCTAGTTTAAAGGTAGGCAGTGAACTGGCTGGTCGTGTAGTCCACTTCACTTAATTGGAGAAGTTGCATCAACCCTAGTCGACTGACTGACGAGGAAATCTCACGATGGATACGAAAGGCTCGTGTGGCATTTGACAACCCACGTCATCTCTGGTGAACGAACGCCTGATATCCGGCTACCGATCACAGCACGTGTGTACTGTGCAGAAGTTCACTCTGTCCTACTTCACGACTGTGGGATGTGACCGTTGAAAGTGGAAGACTTGTGCAAGCTAATTGTCTTCGACCATAGATATTTACGTTCTATCTACCGTGTTGAATAGTATAATATGGTGAGTGGTACTGAGGTTAGGCGTAGAGTGGTAGGTGAGGCGGGACCGACTCACCTTCACAACCACGTCGATTCAGACAGCTAGGACATGCTCTACGCATTCCAAACTACCGACTCGCTTGTCCAAAAATGCTAACTGACAGGATTCGGTGGGGAAAGAGTTAGGTGTGATCAAATCAAAACCTGGCGTCAACATATTGAAGCCATTCGACTCTTGGTTAAAGCCAGGTTTGTGTGTGTTTATCACCTGACTTCGGTCCATGAGAAGCTAGGATTCAATGACTGAAGACTATTTATTCGTGACATGGCTCAAAATTCTTCTCAATGGCATAGATGTTTTCACCAGTTATCAACTCCTAGATCCATTAAATTCTCATCATTCTGCATGTACTTACTCTTCCTCGTGTACATTCGCCTTCACTATACCTGCTTTCAATTCTTTTCTCTCTTCCTTTGTATACTTACTATATGGAGTGTGGCAGCTTGAACTGTTTCACCCTTGTGCAAAGCTCCACGTTGAAAACTCAGTCAGTCAGTGAGGGTTCATCTAGCTTATAATGCTTCCCCTGGAGCCTGATTTTTAATAAGCTTAATATAGTTGACAGGAATTACCCAGTGCTCATCTGTTCCACTTCCATCACACATCCCACTCTGTGGTCATTACGAAAACATCTGGCTAGTCTGCTGTCGAACAGCCTTCGATACTCGTCGCGTTGTCACTCCAATGGAATCAATCTTCTCGCATAGACCAGTTCGGATGGGTCTACAGAAACCCACTGACTCTTACTAACCTGTTGCTTCTGTCTATATCTCCATATATATTCATGTTATCTATGCGGTTTTTTTTCTTTCTAGCTTTTTTTTTTGTTATCTCCACGATATTCTCCTGTTTTCTTTGGATGTCTTTTTATGTATTAGCATTCTTTTCTTGATGTTTTTTCTCTTATTTTTTCGTCATTGTTTCTTTTGCTTGCATTTTGCTAATTTTTTCATTTTCATACTTGGATACTGTTCATACTTTATTTTTTCTTCTGTCTTCTTATTTATTTTGCTCATTTTTTTTAGCATTTTTTGCGGCTGTTTATTTTGATTAATTGTAGATATTTACTGATCTCTTTTTTGCATTGTTGAAGATGATTTCACTCATGGTATAGATGTTCACGAACAATTCTTTCGTTGGTTTCATTATCCGCGCCGCTATGTGGCTCGGTAATATGGAAACCACTTCTAATAATTTCGATAAATTTTGCATAGAATATCTGCAGTGAAACCGTTTTCACAACTGCTTTACTAGCACATATTATCTTAATCCTAGACTTTGTAGTCTTAAATACAAATGTTCGTGAAATATATGAATGTCAATTCTGTGTTGATTCAATATTTTAAAATTAATATGCAAAAAAATTTCTAATACATAAATACTACTTTTACGCTTTATTTTTGTAAAACAATGGATTTGTTCATTTTAAGCCGTACAAAACAGGGCTATTCATCAATTTTAACAAAGAAAATTACCAAAAGCAATGAGAAACAGATTTGTTTTGTTACACAAAGCTGTGTAAAATAACGTTACTCGATTTAATAAAGTATGCATAGTGACTACATACAGTTACTCAAATAAGTGAATATATTCTACATTGTATATGTATATGTATCTTAAACAATGATTATACTGCCAAAAGTCATGATGATTATCAAAGCAAAATAGCTCTACTCTCACAACAACAAGAATATTAAAAATAATAAATAAATAAAAGAGAACATACAACTAACTAATAACTAAGTGTTCACTTTAACAGAAGTATAGGAGGATTAAAATAAATCACAGGTGAACTCAAAACTTGTATAAACGCCATTTATTTATTAATTATTTGGTTCAATCAACTAAACAATAAACTCTCTACACAAAAAAGATAAATGAATGGATGTAATGAGTTTCTTCTCAAAGTAAACCGCCCTAAAAATTGTTTCTTTTTTGCTTCCTTCTTAGCATTATTTCTTCTATTGATAACAAAAGTTTAAAGAATTTGAGTAAAAGGAAGTGTGAAATAATGAAAGAGACACAAACGCAAAAACTAGCTGTTATATTCCCCTTTTCTACACGAATCTAAATGTTTCCTTTATTTATTCATCAATATATTGAAAAACTAAGATAAGGAAAGAAACTTAATGAATTTATGCACATACTAATAACTTCATTACACCAAAAACTAAGGCAGATAACAGATACAAATAATAAAAGGGTTGTGATTTGACTGAGGTTACTGAATTGCATAAATCACCTGTGCAATGACAATAGCGAATGCGTACATCATTTGTACCGACACGATCAATACAGCCCAAATTATCCACAATGTTACTGCATTGGCGCACTACACGTCTTTCATTTTCAACTAGAGAGAAAAATTAAGTAGGTGTTCACATAGCCAAGATAACAACAAAAATAAAGAACACACAATTCTGACAGAATAGACAGAAAACTAGCAAGTGTCTTATTTTTCATGCTTTTGGTCAAGTAGGAGGTTAGTCTATTTTTCTACAGTGCAGCAGCTTTTACATTATTCTTGTTCTAAAAATACAATGGTCCTGAGTATTTTTCGAAATTATTTTATATGACGAAGCTACCCGTATCATTAATGATCTAATTACTCCTTAAGAAACCTCTATCACTACTAAAGCAAGTACACAAAAGCCTATTTTTGAAGCTAGTTATTACAGGTTCCCCTTGTGTAATAGCTGTCGCTTACAGACTAGCATGTCAATACTCCCAAGCTCCAGATTACTGAGTTGAAATAAACTTCTTTTTAGCATGGAAAAGGTACATATACGTCTTTCCTCACTGTCTCAAATAGTCTTAGTCGGCAGACAGGATTCGGAACCAGATCTTAACCCCTGTTTCCAACTTGTTGCCAAGTTAGAAACTATATACACTACATCACCAAAACCAGATGAGGAGCAAAGGTGCGCCCTCATATGTACCGCAGATTTCGCGACCAACTCGAAACAACATTGATATAATCGATATAAGCATAAAACTTGAACATTGTGGTAGAGTATAACTCCATTACAGATAAGACTTTATTTTGATAAATCACACAGTGTTATACATTAATATTAACTGATGACGTTTCGGGCACAAATTATTGTCACTCATAATCATATCAAGTTACTCACACAACTTGTTTCTTCATTTATATACATAAGTGGAATTCATTAGATATTTGAATAAAACTCAATACAGGATAGTGTACATTCAGAAATAATAATATGAGTGTTATTGGTCGATTACAATCAGATGGGAAATAAGACGAGTGTTTTTATAGTTAAAATTAGTAACTTGTTAGAGTGTTATGATGTACGTGAACTGAAATAGAATTTTAAGATTATTTATTATCCTCCTCTGATTTGACTGACTGGTGGTAATAATATCTTCCATATCTCTGGTATTTGCGTTGTCATTTCTGTTGCATGTGTTGGGTGTAGATACGATGAACAAGGACTCAGTAATCAATCTCTCTCTCCATCTACCTAGATTACTTTTTAGAATTTTAACCCTCTCCCACCCTATTGTGTGGTTGTGTGTTAATGCATGCAGTGCAATCGCTGAGCGTTTTTCTAAATTACTTATCTTCTCTGGGTCAACCATTCTCACCTTAGCTAAATTCTTATGTTCCCACAGTCTGACTACCCCCAACCTACTATTTTGACCTATGTAGTTGACATCACAGTCATTGGAGGGTTTTTCGTAAATTATATTATTTTGTTTAATTGCGTCCAACGGGCTTTTAGCCTACAGAACTTGTCTCTGAGTCAGTTTGTAGGTTTGAATGCCACCCTAATTCCTGATTTATTGAGAATCCTACATAGGGCCTCAGATATATATATAAGTAGATGGAGAGAGAGATTGATTACTGAGTCCTTGTTCATCGTATCTACACCCAACACATGCAACAGAAATGACAACGCAAATACCAGAGATATGGAAGATATTATTACCACCAGTCAGTCAAATCAGAGGAGGATAATAAATAATCTTAAAATTCTATTTCAGTTCACGTACATCATAACACTCTAACAAGTTACTAATTTTAACTATAAAAACACTCGTCTTATTTCCCATCTGATTGTAATCGACCAATAACACTCATATTATTATTTCTGAATGTACACTATCCTGTATTGAGTTTTATTCAAATATCTAATGAATTCCACTTATGTATATAAATGAAGAAACAAGTTGTGTGAGTAACTTGATATGATTATGAGTGACAATAATTTGTGCCCGAAACGTCATCAGTTAATATTAATGTATAACACTGTGTGATTTATCAAAATAAAGTCTTATCTGTAATGGAGTTATACTCTACCACAATGTTCAAGTTTTATACTTATATCAGTAGTATGAAACACTTTCACAGCACTCCTTTCTCAGTCAAATGTTATAGCAACACTGAATTTATGCAGCCAAAAGCACCTCTATGTTAGGAGATATGCTAATTTTTGAACCCTGGGGGGTATGTCTATATGCTAGAACCTGTCAAAAAGTGAAGATATGATCAATACTCTATTGTAAGAACTTGAGCCTTCACTGGTTTCATCAGGTTTACTTTGTCCGAGCCCCATTCATCCTTCTGATAACTTTGCGACTTAGAATCTTAAATGTTGTGTCGGTCAAACTGATACCCCTAGACTATCGCAGGAAGATTTTCTACACCTCTTATGACCTCGTATTATCAATGAGCTATACCAGTCAGTAACACAAAAGATCTTGCCAATAAGTAATCACGACCATCCTCCAACACCTCTGAAGTCATATCACCAGTCCCTGTCAGTTTGCCTGTGTCTAAATTAAAGACAACTTTCGCAACCATTATCATTATTTCTATTAACATTAATGAAGTCGATTACTTCTCGAACAATAAATAAATTTTGTTCGAAACGTCATCCAGTAAATAATACTGTTTCACTGTGTGATATATCTAATAAACAAACTAATATGGAATTACTTACTACTACAGTGCCCAAGTTTTACACATATATTAATATGACTTATGGTCTTCCTGAGAAGCCGATTACTGTTGGAGGGTAAATATCAACACCACAGTCAGATTGAGGGCAGTTATAGTGTAGCTTTAGGCCAGAGAAACGACTAGATAAAATTTTCTGCCAAATGCTGTAGCCGTCTCTCCTGAGAAATTACTAGAAATCCATCCTTCTCGGAGATCGATTCACTTAGATGATCTTTTTACTGCTCTTTCCCTAATGAATCTATTTTCTGTTTCTAACATTTTTCATTTCACTAGCTTTAGTAGCCAACGACTACTACTTATTTTGAAGAATTTTCGTCAACCTTGTTTTGAGCAGTTTGGATCATACCATAGAAATATTTGTGCGTATCGTTTCATCGGCATTTTGACTACAAGATCAGTCTGCGGAGCATCCATGTAGGAATACCAGGTGAGAATGTCTTACAGCCGGATAAAACTAAATTGCAACATAAAAATATCTCACATTGTATGCATTCGATTAGTCTGAAGTTTAGGCATGTTAAAAGAGAGTAATTACCTCAGAAGAACATAAGTCGAAATATATTTTTACTACTATTTTATTATTAACATGTTTTAAATTTCTGCTTTCGCACCTTGCTAAGTATCACGGTCGTGGAGATTTTTAGTTAATTTTTTAGTGAATAAATCTTCTGATATGAGGATAGAATTTGGGCACTATAGTAGAGTATAGTTCCGTTATGGATAAAATGTATTTTGATAAATTCTCGCAGTGTTATGTAGTAATATTTGATGATGTCGTTTCGAGCACAGTTTATTTGCTCATAATCATATCAAGGTACTCACAAAACTTTCTGACTTTGTTTATATGCATCATAATGGAATAAATCTACTGTTTTTGTCATAATAATACCGATAACAATAATAACAATGTTTTCCTACTGAATGACTACTTATCTAAAAAATTCTGTGAACACTAATCATAAGTTTATAGCATTCCAATTATTTCATAAGTCAAACAAACATAGTGGAAGTGAGACCACAATTTGTGCATCTGCTGATCCAAAGACAGCTTAAGTAAACGGGAGCCGACTATTTTAACCATGAGGAAAATCGATATATAGACAATTTCCTCTTTGGATTTATGCCTAATGGAAATAATTATTTTTTCTGAAGGATTAGATTTAAATAGGTCATTTTGATAAGTATAAAAATTTCCTTCCCACCAGTGTTTAACTTACCAACTTGGTCGATCTTCCGACAACCAATAGGTTTGGATGCATCAATTCCAGGATACTTGGAACAATTTGTTATGAAAGTAAACTGATCCCATGGTTCACATAATTGGCCATCAAGGTAAGAATTGCAAACGACGCACTGGACACCAGCAGCTATAAAGAAATGAATGGATGTTGCACGCATTTTTCACTATTTTAAGACATTTTATGACTAGGAAACACAAAAATTAATAGCACACAGTTCTAAAACAAATAAGGATATTGTTATAACAACTCCGTGAAAAAGGATTTTTAAACCTACTGGAAGGGAACCTAATTCGCTAAGCATAACTCAGAAATAAACCTAGACAATTTAAGGACCTAGGAAAAACTCTTTAGACATATGTTTGTCATACTTGCATTAACCCAAAAGCCAACTCAGGACTTTGTATAGAAATGCATTAGCTCAAGTAGTCATGCTTAGAATTGGCAAAAACTAAAGAAAAGACAGATGCAAAGTGATGCAACAGGGAATAAATATGACAAGAGGAGAGATACTAATTGTATGAGGATTTTTTTCCTTCACGTTCCCCAGTGGAACATAGGGCTTCAAGCTGGAGCCAGCTTGAAGTTTCTGTAGCAGTGTTTATTTTACAGGATGGGGTTGCTGGCCTCATGCCCAACCTTCCCTCTTCACCAGCATTATTTCTGGCTTATCAAGGTAAAGGAGTGAGTCGGCCGGGGATCGAACTCCGGACCATGTGCATGGTCAGCGAGCGTCCTAACCGCTAAGCTACCGACGCTGTATGAGGATTGGAAGATGAATTTCTGTTTTGGTAATGGTAAAAAGTTAAGACATCTGAGCCTTTGAGTGCAAACTTGAAATATGTCACTCTCCAACCTTTTACTAGTAACATCTCGAAAACTACAGTCAAACAGCTTATATCTCATGAAATGCCTCAGACCGATAGTCCGATAATTCCTTGTTTTGTGATATTTTCGCCCTTTTAGAATTACTTTGTCTTTATCCCAAACCTGCTACTGAAATGTCCATTTCTAAGGGTAATGTCACTACATGTACAGTATTTGTCCCATCCGCTATACTCGACGAACATTCGCAGCATCTTTAATTAACCCACTTTTCTTATCTAAAATTATATCTAACCTCAATATTATCTGCATTGATAGCAGTCAAATGATATGCATTCTTACCATATCTTATATTTTTAGAATCCTCACTTTCCTGTCATGTAGTATGATACAGTGGAGAGCTGACCTCTGCAGCTGACATCAAACATCTCACTATCGACAAAGGTGCAGGTGAGCCTTTTGTATTCACTCTGGACTCCATTGCCAACCAGTTCATTATGGTTCATTCAAAACACTGAATATGTGAAGTCGTCAAAACACATTTCAAATTCGCTCCAGTTTTCTCCTCACAAGACTGTCTTTTCTCCTCGTCTTCGCGTAAAAGTACTACATGGTTTACATCATTTAAGTCAGCTAGTGCTTTTCCTTGTAGAAAATCAATTCCTGAGAATCGAACGTTACAGTAACTCCCACCAGCTCATCATCATCATCAGTCCCTTGACTTTCGTCGTGGGGGTGCTATGACAGTTCGCGCTATCAGTCTTCTCCATTCTTCTCGGTTTAATGCTATTTTCTGTAGCGTATCCAAGGGCATTTCAGTCCACTCTTTTATGTTGTCAAGCCAGCTCTTATTCGGTCGACCTCTCTTTCGTGCTCCTCCTACTGTGCCTTGTAGAATCGTTTTGGACAATGTGTCATGTCTTACCATGTGGCCGAACCATTGTAGTTTCCGTTTCTTTACGATTGAAAAGAGTGGTTCCTGTTTTCCTGCCAGTCTATGGACCTGGTGTAAGACATATTCATTAGTTTTCCTTTCAAGGTAACTTATTCCTAGGATCCTTCTATAGCTTTTGTTTTCGAAGGCTTGTATTCTTCTTTCTGTCTCTGCATTCAGGGTCCAGCTCTCACATCCATATAGGAATACAGAGAGGACCAGTGACGAGTAGAGTTTCATTTTTGCTGAGACGCTGATGTCGCTCTTCCATATATTCCCTAACTTGGACATGGTGGCAGAGGCTAGGTTTAGTCGAATTTTTATTTCCTTAGTGGACCTTCCATCTTTTGTTAGGGTAGACCCAAGGTATTTGAAAGTTTCAACCTCTTCTAATACATGTCCATCAAGTCTGATACATCTATCTGAGTTGTTTCCTCCGTTAATGAGTATTTTGCTTTTTTCTGTGCTGATTTCCATGCCCACAGATTTGGTTGCAACATCAAGTCTTGAGGTGAGGTCCTGAACTTGATCAATGTTTTCCCCAATGAGGGCTATATCATCAGCAAATCTGAGGTTGGAAATTGGTCTTCCGTTTATGCTAAGTGTCGGTGTAAAGTCATGTAGGGTTTGTGTCATAATATGTTCGAGGAATAAATTAAAGAGGACTGGTGAGAGAATGCACCCTTGGCGTACTCCTATAGTTGTTCTGAAGAACTCGCCAGTTTGATTATTTAGAGATACTGCACTACTAGATTTGTTATATAAAGACTTAATAACCTCAATTATGTTTTTATCTATATTGTAGTTATTCATGACTTGCCATAAGCCTTCGTGCCACACACGGTCAAAGGCCTTCTTAAAATCGATAAAGTTGTGTACTAGCATTTTTTGGTGTTGTAGACATTTTTCGTTTAGTACCCTTATGTTAAAAATTTGTTCAGCAGTGCTTCTGCCCGGCCTGAATCCGGCCTGTTCTTCTGAGAGTATTTCCTCTACTTTCTTTTTGAGTCTGTTCAATATTACTTTCAGCATGACTTTACTTGGGTGGCTGATTAAACTTATTGTTCTGTAGTTCTCGCACTGCTTTGCGTCCCCTTTCTTAAATATTGGAATGATTAGTGACTGAGTCCATTCTTTAGGCCATTCTTTTTCTTGCCAGATTTTTTGACAGGCTGCTTTCAGCCATTTAACTGTTTGTGGTCCACCATGTTTAATTAGTTCTGCCGGTATGTTGTCAATTCCTGGTGATTTATCTCCCTTAAGTGATTTTATTGTTTCCTCTACTTCTGACTCTAGTATGGGTGAATCACCGATCTCCCTATTGTCCCAGCATGAATTGTTTATTAGGCTATAATTAGGGCTTATTTTATGATTGTAGAGTCCCTTACAGTATTCTGTCCACCTTCTAAGGATATCTGCTTCTTCTGTTAAGAGGGTGCCTTTACCATCCTCAATTACGGTTGCTCTATTCAGTTTCGTATTGGTCAGCTTACTCAGTGTTTCGAATGCTTTTTTATTGTTGCCTCCCCTTAAGCTATTATCGATGATATTACATTGTTCAGTAATCCAGCCCTCTTTTGCTCTCTTCATTTTGGAGCGTATTTCTTTGTCTACTGTTCTATACTCTTCCCTGTACTGGGAATTAAGTCCTTTCTTCTTTTTTAGTTCTCTTCTTGTATCATACAGGTTTAAAATATCGTCTGTGACCCATGGTTTGATTTTCTTTCTTTTGTTACCCAGAACTTCTGTTGCTGATTCATGCAGCACTGTTTTAATGATAAAATCCGATAGATTCATATTACACAACAAAGGCAAATCCTGGCGACTGTCACCACTTCAGGAAGCAACTCTTTCACAATTGCACCATCAGTATAACATGCTTTCTCGGAACTATCTTCCCACTTACACTGTTAAGGAAACTCATTATCGACAGATTCAAATATTGCCTTCTATTTGACAATTATCTCACGTTTCAGATACAAGGTAGTGTTTGTTCCATAACCTATCAGATATAGAATTGACCAAGGCCATGATGACTAAATTAAAATATTAGTCTCAAGATCCCTATGTTCGGCATGCGACTCACCCCTGTCAAACGTATGATGACAATGCAGGACTGATCTGAACCGACTCCTAGTTTAAAGGTAGGCAGTGAACTGGCTGGTCGTGTAGTCCACTTCACTTAATTGGAGAAGTTGCATCAACCCTAGTCGACTGACTGACGAGGAAATCTCACGATGGATACGAAAGGCTCGTGTGGCATTTGACAACCCACGTCATCTCTGGTGAACGAACGCCTGATATCCGGCTACCGATCACAGCACGTGTGTACTGTGCAGAAGTTCACTCTGTCCTACTTCACGACTGTGGGATGTGACCGTTGAAAGTGGAAGACTTGTGCAAGCTAATTGTCTTCGACCATAGATATTTACGTTCTATCTACCGTGTTGAATAGTATAATATGGTGAGTGGTACTGAGGTTAGGCGTAGAGTGGTAGGTGAGGCGGGACCGACTCACCTTCACAACCACGTCGATTCAGACAGCTAGGACATGCTCTACGCATTCCAAACTACCGACTCGCTTGTCCAAAAATGCTAACTGACAGGATTCGGTGGGGAAAGAGTTAGGTGTGATCAAATCAAAACCTGGCGTCAACATATTGAAGCCATTCGACTCTTGGTTAAAGCCAGGTTTGTGTGTGTTTATCACCTGACTTCGGTCCATGAGAAGCTAGGATTCAATGACTGAAGACTATTTATTCGTGACATGGCTCAAAATTCTTCTCAATGGCATAGATGTTTTCACCAGTTATCAACTCCTAGATCCATTAAATTCTCATCATTCTGCATGTACTTACTCTTCCTCGTGTACATTCGCCTTCACTATACCTGCTTTCAATTCTTTTCTCTCTTCCTTTGTATACTTACTATATGGAGTGTGGCTACTTTAACTGTATGTTGTAGAGTTTGAATTGGAGTTTGGATACATTGAGATTAAGATAGATTTAGACGTAGCATACAAAAATTTCGTACGGACTTCCAGAGAAGGAGATGTCTGTACCCTTAATCGGCTATTTCAAAAAGAGATTAAACAAACACAGATGCTCATCATGAACAGATTATCACATTCTTGATTCCTTCTATCTCCAAAAAAATATCTGAATCTGAATCCATAGCCTAGCATACATCAGTTTTTGATGGCAAACATTTCGCAGAAATTACTCGACTTAATCAAACTGGTGGATAAAGGACTATTGTATCTTTTAAGATACATGAAATTTAATAATAATAAGTTGGATGTAGCCATCCTCACTGAGATGTAGTTACAAGAAACGAATAATTATTCTAATACCAGTTTATTGCATTATTTATTTACGATGGTGAATTTTCTGTCAGCTCAAAGCATTTATTAAGACTTCAATCTAGTGGTCATAATAGGACTGCGCAAACTACAACTCTCACCTGATAGTCCCGTCTTCTGTGATCCACAATGGAGAACTCAGCGAGGCGTTCGGAGTGAATACAGGAGTAAAACGAGGCTGCCTATTATCACCGATAATATTATTAATTGGTGTGGACTGGATTATGCGTCAGACTGTGAGTGGGGAATGAGAAGGCAGGAATACGCTGCAATGACCGACAAGAAAACTCTAGAAGATCTGGATTTCGCAGATGAAATGTGTCTAATGTCTAATGGAGATAACCAACGAACCGCAACAACAACAACCAGCACCAATCACCATCAGTGGGAGAGATTTGACATAGGTTAGTTCCTTCACTTGCCTAGGAAGCATTGCTTCAACCACAGGCGGAACGGATGAAGATGTCAAAACCAGCCATTATTAAAAAGGCAAGGTGCGCTTTCATCAACCTGAAACAAGTTTGCAAATCTTCTGCACTCAGCCTGCATAAACAACAAGATTCGGATTTTTAACACATATGTGAAGTCAGTCAGTTCTTCTATACGGGTCAAAAACTTGCACTGCGTGTTACGAAAAGAATTTCCGACAAGTTACACGCTTACGTCAACATCTGCCTTTGCTGGCTCCATACTGAAGATCAGATGGCAGGCTGTCCAGAAAGAATTTTTAAGAAGAAACTCTTGCTGAGAACAAACCAACCTAGAGCCGATCGCTCAAAAAATATGTAAGAGAAAATGGAGGTGGATCGGGCATACATTGAGGAAAACCTCGAATGACATAGTGTGCAATGCAGGCCATAGCTTGAATGGCATCCAAATGGGAAGTGACGAGTGGGTCGTCGGTGCAAGGGTGACATGGAGGAGATCGTGTGAGGAAGAGATGAGAGATCATGGGCAATCATGGACCCAGCTGAAGAGTACGGCAGAAAATAGAACAAAGTGGAGATGTGTTGCTGAAGCCCTATGTTCCACTAGAAACCCAATGGAATGATAATAATAATAATAACTTGAAAGGGTGTTGATACATTAAACAGTACAAAAAATCTTCCTAGGAAAAAACATCAAAGAGAATTTTCTTTTCACAGCCTTCATATGAAAGTTGGAGAAACAGTAAAGAATTACTAACCTGAATTTTGCTGCAAAATGCACGAAAATACTAATATTCCAATATAAATTTCCTGAATGAAACCCATAATCAACGTCACAGCATCAACTGTTTTATCAAAAGTCAAACTCCCATTATTTGGGAGACAACAAGAATGTTTGAAAAAATCGATTCTGTAGGCTCATTCGTTTTTAAAAAGAATTACCTGTATTACTGGATTGGTTAAGAGGATAATTCATCGATCGTCGTATTGTTTAACCAATCAAAGATGCGTCAATAGCCAAACTTACGAATGACCTTGGGCGTTGACCTAAATATCCAATACTAGTTTCTTTGATTACCTTATACTGTTATTAGTGGGCTGACATGCGTACAGAATTTTGTAGCTAGAAATTATCAATTTATCTCCAAATAAAAGTGTTGATTATCAACCATAAAAGAAATATAAATTGGGGGAAACACAGAAGACATTACATACTTATTTAAAAAAACCGCACGGTGTTTGGGGAATAAGGGTTTTTCTGAACGTTTCTGAGTTAAAGCCAAAGCTTCCTTAGCAGGGAGGACAGCTGTGTGTTTAGTAGCTGGATTTAATTTAGGTTAGGACCTCTTATAACGATGTGATTAGATGAAAAAGAATCGAATGTATACGCAAACTTTACAAATCCTTTCGAACACAGGAACTGCTATGTTGTGGTTGACAGCAGACAGAAAAGTCAGAAATCTTCACATTTTCAGAAACACTTGGTAAACTGTCATAACACATCCCTTTTTATCTGGGCTACCTTGACGGACACATTTTCAGAATATTTTCAGAATAAGTGTCACCATATGGTGACACTCATTTTATTTTATGCTAAGTAGTTTGCTCATTGTTAGTATTTTAGAGACTGATGGTATTGACTTTCACGGATAGTACGAAGTATTCTAATGCAAGATCTAATATCCACAACTTCTATAGTATTCGTTCTGCGTTGACCAAAGGCAAAGCAAAACAATAATTACGAAGTATATTTCGGGACCAAATCGGAGTGCGAGATGATTGCTTAGCTGGCTCGGGATCGTGCACGGCGTGGATGCTTGACCGGAAACCTTCAGCTGAACAAGTTGACTTAAACAGTGAGGGTCAGCATCCAATGTTCAGTGATGAGTGCTGTGGTCAATAATTTTGGGGAATTATTTATCGCTACCGTATCGAGACAAATGCATGCTTTCCTACAAGTTATATATATATATATATATATATATATATATATATATATATATATATATATATATATATATAAACACCTCGCATCCAGTCAACTGAAAATCAATAACGAAAATAGGTGACCTTTATTCATCTCTACTATGAGATTTGTTAACATGTGCATTAGTTGTACTCTTTTGGACACTAATAATAATAGTATTGATAATAAAAATAATAATGATTTGCTTTATTCCAAAACGGTACTTATAATATAGCGTGGAATTCTCAGCATTTGGTACAACAGTGCATCTAATTTACCCCTCAGCAACAGAGACAAAAAATGTATATTACAGGATATAGGTAATCAAAATTTGTAATAGCGAATTTTATGGCAGTAGCTGTAACATAAAAGTAAAAATGTGCACACTGTTAAATCACAATAATAATAATGTGAATAACTCAAACTATGATATTATTGAAATAGTGTCACCAAAGATAACAAATAGGGGGAGATAAAAGAACCATTTATTTTGTTATTCACCTACTAAGTTGTAGGTTTCACGCTTAACACTATCTCTATCACATAGAACGCTGGCCAGATGGGACATCTTTGAGCTTTAGTATTTGGTTGTGCTAGCATGTAATCTTTAGGGATGACTTCTAGTGCCACCTGATGAGATGCAAGGGGAGAGCTGTGAATAGATGGTGTGTTGAGAATCAGACGATATGGATTTCACCTATCTCTGACATGAGTTCAGGTGTCTGTAGACAACAATAATGAGATGACTTACTGGCTCATAACTTACCCCACTGGCAATTTTTAATACCTTTCGTAATATGACATAGTTCTTTTTGAGTAAGGGGAGTAATCATGAACAATGTGTAAGGTGCAAGAGTTAACCAATTCCAAAAGTAGAGTTTGAATGATTCATGATTGCTTAGCATCTTAATGTAGAAGTTTAGATGAAACACTTCCTTAGACGTCGACAAGATAAGGGATGACCATAAAAAGTCAAAAGGTAGAACTATTCCAAGATATTTTTTGCTTGACTTAGTCTCTGTTTCAGTATCCTATATGCAACAAGCATACTGTGAACATACAAGTTCGTTTAGATCATGTTTATAACTAACTGAAAGTAAAGTTAATTATCTGACATTTGGAGGGATTTAATGTAAGACCACTAAGCTTGAACCACTGGCTTATGTCCAGCAAAAATTTATTCGGACGGGGACAGTCAGATTAGGACATAACTGGCAAAATAACAGTCAGATCAGCGTATTTATCGAAGCTGATTTCTAGGTTATTATACCCGTTCCTTATCCAAATGAAACTTTTATAAAGTACCTTAACAGTAGTGGTCTTGATAAAACGTGCTAATAAGGTGAGATCGATTCCATACATTCGTTCCCTTGATAGTCTTTGATAAGGAAAGAAAGACCAGATTTGCAGTATAAAATGATATCATTCTATTTCACAGGTTCTCACAAAATTACAAACATCAATGTTTGAATGGTGGTAGGGAAAACGTTATCAAATCAGCGCGTCTGAAATATAAGCATTACCATTTTTGGTTTAGGGTAACATCAATCCATATACTTTCAAGACAGAAAAGGACGAGGGGGGAGAAGATAAAAAGAAAGCGAAAAATCTAATAAACCGCGTTAGCTCGTAGGTTTATATAGCAACTCATAAAACTGGAAACTTACTCAGTGAGCTGAATTCACTAATATGGGTGACTAATCAATGTAATCAAAATGCAGTTACCAAGGGAGTGAGAGACTGATTACACTACCTTTCTATGTGCATATTTTTTTTCTGACGTTTGATTGCAATTGCTTCAACAAGTAGTAGTTTATTTGCTGTCTTTTGTGTGTTTAATATTTTGACGGATTTGGAAATCTTGACGAAATGGCCCGCATCTACAAGGTGTCTAGTAATTGCACTTTGCAAATATCTGCTTCCTTTCAGACATAAGTTTTATGGAATATGCTCTGAAAAATGAATAAAAGCCCTTCTTTCTGTCCTTCTAATGGACTTGCTGCCGCAAGTGCACGTAAATTTATACACGCCGTTGGATGTGACATAAACAGGATACTTATCCAGTTTGCATTGGCTTATAGAGGGGACATGAAACTGAATGACAAAATAAAACATATTGTTAAGGTGTTTAAATACGTTAGGATATATATGTATCTACCGGTTTAACTGCAGCTGCAGAACCAGCTACATTTGTCGTACAACTAGACAGGTTCATCATCGTATTTCCGAGCATCATCAAGCATGGTTAAGCAACGGACAAACAAGATCTATTCGTAGCTCTGTTTTAGCACACATTGTAGATAGTGAGCATAAAGTTGATGTTAATACAACATTTGAAATTACTTATCGCATTCCTATTAATTTTAATTTGACTTTAGGAGTTCGTCTTCTACACACAGCTGAAGCCATAGGAATCCACCTGAAGAAGCCATGTATTTGTGTGTGTTCAGAAGAAATCTGTACAGCCACTTCCCTTACTCTGGCCATTTTTACATGAATGCATAAACCGGACCACTTCGCCCCTAAACCTTTTAAAATTTTAATTGTCCAGATTATTTTATTATTTTTCTGACTACTTCATCTTTAACTACGTGTTATAATTTTCTCAATTATTTCGTTCTCATGACTACTTCATCTTTAGTTACAAGTTACCATTCTCCAAATCGTTTTATTTTTCTTTAATAAACTGTTACGTAATCAACTTGAGCAAACCCATATTCCTTAATTACTCTTCATTTTTTCCAAAATTATACATTATGCAATCCACGTGTTGTAACCATTTCTACCTTTTAATTGTATGTATTAATTTTCTTGGTTAATTATCACCACCTTGACCTGTTAATACTGACTAATTATTGTTAACAAACACATCGCCACTTGATTGGTAAATTGTTGTGTATTGTAATAAAAATGCTACATTATATATATATATATATATGTATATAATTTCTTCCTTCAATTCTTTTGCTTTTTAAACGTTAGGATATGTCTGTACTCTAGTATACTCAGAATCCTACTTGTTTGGTATGAAATTTTATTAATTCTTTGTAATAATCTAACGATTAAATCAAACACTACTAATACTGTGATGGTGTGATGCAGACAATGATACAGACAACAGAATACGATATATCTATTTGAACATTCTATTTCATGTCGTTTAATGCAAACCAAAATCACAAGCTTAGTGACAGGTTAGAGATTATAAACTGTATAGATATAAATAGCTGTTTGATCAATTGAAAATAAAACTTGGCTTCTGTATTTGGCTTTTTGCTGCTACAATAGTAGTAAAAGAGAAAATTAACTTGGATTCATCCACTGACTTTAATTGACATGTTTAGTCATTCAAAATACACAGGATTATGAGCGAATTAGTATTTGGACACATTAAATCCAATGCATTTGAACAGCCTAGCGACATGTTGGTTAATTTCTGTGGATTCATCAGGTGGAACTATAAATGAAGACAAGATATTCATTGAAAATAGCATACTGCCATTTCCTCAGAAGAAATATCGAAGAACAGGTGACTCATGAGCATCATAATTATGTCTTCAGCAAAGCAAAGAAAATGAAGCGACTTATTTTCAATAATTCTATTGATCCGAAAATCGCAGGTGCATGGTCAATTTACTCAGTTGTTGAAGGCTTATTCATATGTACCTTGTAGATAATGGTCAGCAAACACGAAACTTTGGTCTCTCTCTTTTCGTTGAATACCTCCAATCACCTAATATGTGATCGCTTACACTTTGGGAATTCGTTAATATTAAATACTCTTACAGCGAATTAACTCATCAACTAAGAAGTATTTTTCATTAGGCTTTCATGTCGTACATATCTTATTTCTAGGTTA